ACCATGTCAGGCTAACTAGACTATCTCAATGGGGCGTAAAAAATAAAAGCTGCCAGTCACAAGAAATGGGGCAAGGTTACAGTACTAAAAAGAAAAATTATAACCTAGGGACAAAATAGTCTCCCTTTTTAAAGATCTCACAGGTAGTTCTATTTGGCCAGAGAACACTTCTGGGTGCAGCCCTACTTGTCCCCCAAATCTAAAATACATGATTCAAGCACCTAGGTCTTGGCTCTGCTGACTTCTGCAGAGAGGTCCCTAAGAATCATTGTATGGGCAATGTGACCGTTATTGGACAGAATGCCCCAGATACATACACATATAATGACAGAATCTCTGGGCACAATTGACAGTGGGGAATCACATAAAATTGATGACATTATGATGATGACAAGGGGGACTGGTCAAACAACAATAACCTGTTCCAACCCCTTGAGTGCAAACTGGAAGGGAAAACGATTTAAGGTACAGTTTTTAAAAAATATGCCAGACAGCCTGATTCCTCTCCTGGGAGAAAATTTGTTATGTAAATTAAACGCACAGATAACATGCTCACCCAAAAAGTAGCAACTTCATTTGCAAGTGCCTCCCAGGAAAAGAAAACCAAACCTGCACTGCTGGAGGTCTCCTAGAGGTGAATAAGGCATTTTAGTCCAAAGGGACACTGAGAAAAGTGATCACTGTTATCTTACCCAAGATTTTATTTTAGGAGAAAATAACTTGTCCCCAGGGGGAAGGGGATAACCCCTTAACAAAGAGACATTAATGGGAATTCTGGAAATCCATTCACTTCTGGCCAGTTGTTTAAAATGTGAATTGAGTCAGCTTTTCCAGATCTCCTAGTCTGCCTGTTAGAAAATTTTCCCACTGATGAGTAACAATTTGTGCAAGGCTTGAGAACTTTAACAGTTGTGATGTCCATTACCTTTAGGATTTTTCTTTGTTAGAGAAACAGATAGCTTACAATTTTGACCAGGCTTAATTTTTTATGAATAACCTGAATATATGTGACTAGAGCTATGTATACATCTGAAACTAAATATGTTTGAACCTTATCTAAATGTGTTGAAAAAGTTTATAAAATAAAAGTTCATATAGGTTTAACCAATAAGTGCTATCTTTTATAAATTGCATCTGACATAATAGGGCCACACTGCCATTTGAGAAACTGGCTTATATCTGTCTGCTTTAACTAAGTCTAGTTCTGATTATTAACACTGTTCCCTAAATGTATAAGAGATTTAAGGCTATCCTTTGATTTTTGCTGGTACTGCTAGATTCTGCAAACCTGTAATGATCTATGAATTCTGAATTTTACTGTAAAAAATTAAACCTAGTTAATATAAGGACATCTGTTTAATGGTGATGCTAACTATTAATCTTTGTGTATTAAATATACTCATTTCTTCTGGAAGTTTTAAAATAAAAGCTTAGAAAAGCACTTTATCAAGTGAATTTTCCCCAAATTAAATTAAATTAATCTCTCAAATGGTAACTTTAAACTTAAAGAAATAACAAATTTAATTGGAAATTTATTTATGTCTTTTAATGTTCTGTAACAGGACCAGTTATCAATAAGATGTATGTAAAATTTTATGTTATAGAGCTGGGGATGTGGCTCAAGTGGTAGCACGCTCAACCAGGTTCGATCCTCAGCACCACATACAGACAAATATGTTGTGTCCACCGAAAACTAAAAAACAAATATTAAAAAATTATCTCCTCTCTCTCTCTTTAAAAAAATTATGTTACTTTTAACATAGGGGTAGAAATTTAAATGTATTTTTATTTTTTAAATATTTATTTGTTTCTTTAGGTGTAGATGGATACAACACAAAGTCTTTATTTTTATGTGGAGGTGAGGATTGAAGCCGGTTCCCCACCATGCTAGGCGAGCGCTTTACCACTGAGCCACAATCCCAGCCCTTTAAATGTATTTTTAAAAGAATGAGAGCCTGATCTGTTTAAAGGTAGACATGGTGAAACATAAAAATATTTTGGCACCTTCCCACAGAAAAGGGTAAAAATCTCTCTAAGCTTTTCTTTGATTCACATTTCAGATATAATATGTTACTTGTGGAGACTCTATATATTAATGTTTTGCAGAAGCACTCCTTCAAGAACAAACCACCTCAGTTACTTTGAGGTAATAAGCCATCACCTATGGGACAGATGGGATATACGGCTAACTTCCAGTAGTAATACAGATCCAATTAAATAAAAGGATTTAATGATTGTAAGGTTATACACATTCAAGTTAAAACCCAATTCTCTTACTTTAAGATTGGTGAGACTGGTTTGCTGGATGTTTAAGGCCAAGGCTTAAAGATACAGACTAATAAAGGAGCCAAGAAAACCAATATATGTCTTCTGTCCTCTGAGTCAGCCTAAATCCAGGGAACAAGAGACCTTCTCCAAGGAGCTTTGCAAGTCTGGGTCACATGACCTCCCAATCTGGGAAATTAATGAGACCATTGGAGAACTGAAAGCCAAATAGTGCACCTACTACAAAAGAGGAAGGTCATTGGAGAAGAAAAACATCCCTGATACTTCCAAGGGAAGCCATCTCATCCCAGAGACCCTACCTAGCAAGTGACACTAAAAAGTTAAGAACCTGCTTTTAACTTTCCCAAGACAAAACCCTGTGGGATCTCAGCTGACTCTTAACAGCAGATAGGAACAGAGTCAATTTGACTGGCTTGGCCTTAAACACCTAGCAAAACCACTTATATCCAAAATGCAGCCATACCTGGGCATTTAAAAAGAAAAACGATAATACTTTTAATAGATTTTAAGATGTTCACTTATGTCAATCACACATCCCTGATGGCTTCCCAAATTCTGAGTTTTTTTCCCTTTGGGAGGCTCATAATTATCCCTGCCTACCAAATTCAGATTGACCTCTGTACCCTAATCTTCCTTACTCCTCCTCAGACTGATGATTTACCTCTCAACAAAAGCCTATCCATTCCAATAATAGCACACACCAGATGTGGGAAACCCCCCAAATTATTGCCTTACCCCTAGGGCTAAGAACAACTCTGGAATTGGTACAGGAACAGCAGAATTAGGAACCTGTATTCACTACAAAAATTATAAGAACATGTTATTACAGATATCCAAGAGATCACTGATTTGGTACTGACTTTTCAAATCAGTTGGACTCCCTGACATCCTGCGAAATCAGGGAAGAATGCTCTTTCTATGTAAACCAATTGGGAGTGGAATGAGATTAGGTTAAACAGCTTCAGAACCACCTGGAATACAAAAAATAGATCTGACTCAGCAGACTTTTTGAATCTGGATTGGTGATTTTCAATATGATAATTTAAAAAATGTTACCCACCTTAATAGTTCCTTTCACAAGGAATTCTATCTCATGGCATAGGTATTAAATCCTATGTTTTATTGCCTAGACCTATTCAAGTACACTTTAATGTCTTACAAAATATTATGTTGAATGTGAGAATTGTGTGCTCCAAAAATGTGTCAAACTATATGGTAAAGTTTAGAACAAAATATTATGATTCTCAAAAGGCCAGTAGCTACCTGCTCCTTGAAAAAGTGCTAAATGTTTTATCTCGTTGATAATAGCTGGAATTGTTATGTTGGCTGGGATAATACCTTGTGCATCTACGCAAGGTATTTTACTGAGACCTGCAAACTCAAGTACATATTGATCAGGAAATTTTAAGTAAAATTCAACAAGTAAATGACTCTATTATTTGGCCAGGAGAACAAGTACAAAATTTATGATGGGCTCAGAGACTTCAATGTCATTAATGTTACCCAATTTTGTATTATTAGAGTTTCTTAGAATGATATTGAGATTCAATGGCAAAATGTAAGTAATCACCTAATGGGACTTGATCCTTTTCATAATGTTTCTTTGGATGTGTTGAAATTACAATCTCAGGTTCTGACTGTGGTTGATGTAAAGGCATCTGCTTTTAGCAATGAAAAATATGGGGCAATATGGCTGAAGCAATCTCTTCCCCTAACCTTTTAAATAGTTTTCTATACATGTAGCTGGGTTACTAGCTATAACTATACTGTTAAACTTGTCTCTGTTCTTGTTTTGCATAGTCTGTGAAGAATGATGGAAATGATTAAAACATCAGGATAATATGATTCCAAGAAACAGTTTCTTAGGGAGATGACTTGCCCAACCCAATCCACCTCCCAGGAAACATGTCCTCCCATGCCCATTGCCTGACTTTTTGTAAAGGAGGTCTTCACTCATGACAGTCTTGAAGCTCCTCCCACATACATGCCACTCTTCAACCTCAACCAACAGGGTCTCCATGTTCTCTTCCAGAACTCTGAAACTTCCCAGAACTCAAAGTCAGGGGAGGTCGCTGACTTTGTGCCTTCTCAGCAGGAAGCAGCCAGACTTGATATTTATGCCCCAATTTATCATACCCCTTTCAGAGTCTGAAATGAAGGTTATGAAAAATAAGTTCGAGAATATTTACCCTAAGCTTTTGTCATTTAAAATCCCAGGACCTGGGCTGGGGATATAGCTCAGCTGGTGGAGTTCTTGCCTCCAATACACAAGTCCCTGAGTCCAATCCACAGCACCATACACACACACACACACACACACACACACACACACCCCAGGCTTTATCAGAGTGAATGAACTCAAAAGAAATTCCACTTGACTGGCACCTCACCTCCATCCTAGATACCCATTAATACATAATGGGTCACCTGGTGCCAATATAATAAGCCCCAAATAGTTCTCTATTTACATTATTGTCCCACTCTAATGGATCAGCAGGGCCCCAATACAATGGTCCCCAGGTATTGTTTTTCTGTCCCACCCTAAATAAAGCCTATATAATCCATTCCTTTGCTTTAGCCTGCTGCCATTTTCTGCCCTAAAAATGAGCCATGCCAGGGCTGGGGCTGTAGCTCAGTGGTAGAGCGCCTGCCATGCATGTGTGAAGCACTGGGTTTGAGCCTTAGCACTATATAAAAATAAATAAAGAGGAGAGATGCACGTCAGCAAAGTTGGATTGGATGCTGCTGGCAAGACGACCATTCTGTATAAACTGAAGTTAGGGGAGATAGTCACCACCATTCCTAACATTGGTTTTAATGTGGAAACAGTAGAGTATAAGAACATTTGTTTCACAGTATGGGATGTTGGTGGTCAAGATAAAATTAGGCCTCTCTGGAGGCATTACTTCCAGAATACCCAGGGTCTTATTTTTGTGGTAGATAGCAATGATCATGAAAGAATTCAGGAAAGAGCCCAAGTACTGCAGAAAATGCTTGAGGAAGATGAGCTGCAAGATGCAGTGCTGCTGCTTTTTGCAAACAAACAGGATTTGTCAAATGCTATGGCTATCAGCGAAATGACAGATAAATTAGGCCTTCAGTCTCTCCGTAACAGAACATGGTATGTTCAAGCCACTTGTGCCACACAAGGAACTGATCTGTATGAGGGACTTGATTGGCTGTCAAACGAGCTTTCAAAACGTTAAATGAAACTGGATATCTAACCAAGGACACATTTTGATAGAATTGGTCTAGGCTTGTTACAACAAAATTAGTTTGCATCTTGGTTATTAAACTGTATCTGGGACTGGTTTGGGCAGAATATTACAGCGTTTAAACTTATTTTGTTGCCAATTATTGTTTACCAAGTATAATGTTGCTCTTTAGCAATATGCTTGGTTTTGAAGAAATTCTTGGGGAAAAAAGTATCCTCTTTTTAATTTTGACTTCCTTTAAACCTAAATGCCTGGACATAGCTATTGTGACACCTTTAAATAAATCAGTTTTGAATGTTTTTTTGAGCCCACAACAAATAATGTTTTAAAGTTATCCCCTTGCTACTTTACTGATACCTGTATCATTCCTGGGACAGTCTGCTGATTTGAACATGTAGCATTCCATTTGTATTTATTTCTATCCCTTGCCAAAAGGATTTTCTAATACTGCTTGTACCAGCCAGGGAAATGCTCCAAAACACTATTCAGCTCTCTTGCACTGAGGAACTTGACTCCTGGCTTCCATCAGCCAAACTTAACCTTGGTGTGGTTTGGATTTGATAGCTAATTCTGTGCTGGTTGCAAAGAGTTCATATTGAGATGGCTTTTAATACTCAGCAGATTGTCTTTCTTTATATTATTATCTTCTTTATGTTGCATGTTGCTTTTGGTATCAGCCTGACTCTTTGCCCAGTATATGATAGTTCTGCTGGTGTTTTGTTTATTGATGAACATGTCTTCATTAAGAGTTTTTTTGAAAACTCAGCAAACACAATAAGTTTTCTTCATAACCCATTTGAAATTATTCCTAATAAAATGATAAAATATAAAAAAATAAAGATACTGTGTCCAACTACAATATATATATATATATATATATATATACACACACACACACACACACACACACACACATACACATATATATATATATATATCATGCCAAGGTTCTACCAATTGACTCCACTACTGAATACTGCATAAACAAAAGACTGCTGATCTGAGTTTGTGTCCAGTCTCCTACATTTGTCATGTATGCATCTTTTGTCCTAAAAAAAGGTGCTAGTGTACTAGGCATGGTGGTGCACACTTGTATCCCAGATACTTGGTAGGCTGAGGTAAGAGGACCACCAGTTGGAGCCCAGCCTGGGCAATTTAACAAGAATTTGTCTGAAAATTAAACAAAAAGGGATGAGGGTGTTTGTACCTCAATGGTGTGGTAGAGCAAATTCAGAGAGTATGTGAGGCCCTGGTTTCAGAAATCTCCAGTACTAAACATAAATCAATAATAAAATAAATTAAAACATGTTAACCATCAATTGAAATAATCCTTTGCTTCTTTTATTTTTATTTAATTTTATTTTTTTTTATAATTTGGTCTTTCTTTTTTTAAAAATATTTATTTTTTAGTTGTAGTTGGACATAATACCTTTATTTCACTTATTTATTTTTATGTGGTGCTGAGAATCAAACCCAGGGTCTTGCACGTGTGAGGCAAGCACTCTACTGCTGAGCCACAGCCCCAGAGGATCCTTTGTTTCTTTTAAAATTTCTTTTTCCACAAATGGAATGTTAAATTCTTTAAAATTTATCTGCCTTGTTTACCAATGTATTTCCTGAGCCGCTTAATAGCTCAGCAACTCTGAAAAAAAAAAAAAGTAAGTAGGATGCTGGGCCTCCAAACAAGGTCAGAAGAACACCAAGCTCAGGAGGCCCTCACACACTCCTGGTGGTTTAGGGCATTATCTGAGTGGGGAGTGTTGGGAGTGGACTCCAAACAGTTTATTCCAGGGGTCCATGGAGTGGGCAGGCCAGGCAGGGGTCCAGGGGTAAGCAGGTATAAGCAGGTATAAGTGGAGCCTCAGTGAGCTGAGCCCAGCAGAAAAGACAGTGTGAGCAAGGGCTTAGCCAGGACCAAGCAGGTCCCTCCGCATCTCCACCTCACACAATCCTGTCCTTTGGATGCTGCTGGTTATTGGTGAAGAGTCCTGCTTCCTCACAAGTGAAGTTTGAACATTAGAGAAGCATACTGAGGCAAGCATATAAAGCAGGGTTTATTTAAAAAGGGGTAACAGAGACTTCTCCTGGGAGGGAGAAGGGGGCCATAGCTAGTATCCTGGTATCCCAAGAAGCAAGGTGTTCTGCCCTTTTAATATGTCCTAGGCTTCCTTTGTTCTCCTGCCCTCTTCCTCTTATCTTTCTCCTTCCCAAGTAAGTGAAGAGGCCCAGGAATGCTTTGTGGGATGGCCAAAGGTGGGAAAGGGGTGAGTTGAAGGGGGATGCACAGGATGGCAGAGCCCAGGACACCTTAATCAACAACCTTAGAGCTCCCTGTAGGGAGGGGCCATTCCTGGGACAGGTTACCTTAGCAACAGGTTGGAGCAGGGGCAGGTTGTTGATAAGGGTGGAGGAAGGGCTCTGAAGGAATTAACATTTCAACCCATCAGGGGACAGTCTCTAACTTCCTAACTCAAAATTGGCCTCCTAGATCTGACCTGACTCCATTTACATATCTTTACTGACTGCCTGTCTGATTTTGGCTTCAATTTTTCTTGTAATCTTCACAAATGACAAAGTAATGTAACTGAAAGCTGGGTCTTTGTCACCAGTGTCAATTCATGCCAGTTTAATAATGAAGACAAGGTTTTGAGAAAAAAGTAAAAGTAGTTTTATTACTTTGCAATGAAATGAGAAACACAAGTGACTAGTGTCCCAGAGGCTGGATTCTGCCCATAGGGAAAACAGAGGGCTTTTAAAGAAGGTTTTCAAAGGCTACTTTCCAGGTGTGTCCTGGAGCTATTCATTTCCTAGATCCTCTGGTAGATACCTTCTTCCTGTGGAGCACAGATAACTCAGGGTAATCTTGTTCCCTGACTCCAGGTTAAGGAGGCAGGAAGGAGAAAAGAAAATAAGTTTGCTTTAAAGAATAAACCTCAGAACAAGGAGAAGTATAATAAAATGGAGAAGTGGAGCACTGTTACAATTATTCAAACTGTTGAACCCCGATGCAAAGAAAAGACCACCAACTCCAATTTTAAATCAAATTAAAACAAGCTTGTATTTGTGTACACATAAAGAACTGATCAATGGCTGTCTCTTCTAACATGGGCTAGATAGCAGCCCCCCAGCTCTCCAGGTAAAAGGTTTTATAGCACAAAAAGTTACAAAGGGGGGTGTCTAACAGGATTTTGACAAGCATATATAAAGGCAGATAGTAGGTTAACGATCTACAGTGTATGATGGTTCAATTTAGGGAGTAAATTCAGATCACAACATCAGAATTTATGAGGCACTGCTGAGGTTTCAGAGAGGGTTGTTATCTGATCAGGGAAAGCCAGGCATGGTGAGTTCAGGCACAAGCTGGAATGCCAAACCAGTTTAGAAAGCATAGTAATTTATAGTAAAACAGAAATTAACTTGTTTATGACTTTGTGTGGAGATAGCTCCCAATCTTAAGATAGAATTAGCTGGGTTCATAAAAGCCAACAATAGTAGCTGCAACTCAGGAGGATCTCCAGGCTGGAGGCAACCACCAGCAAGGAGAAGAATGTCACATTCCAGGACACCACCTTGGATGGCTCCTCACAGAAATTCCAGTCTTCAGGGTGGCTCAAGTATTCATCTCTGTGAATGAATAGGGTCAAGAGATCCCAGGAGGAAATGCAGCACCCTTCCCCCACCCCATCTCCTGAGCACACACCTAATGGTATTCTCTTTCTTTCTTTTCTTTCCTGGGGATTGAACCAGGGACACTGGATCACTGAGCCACATCCCCAGCCCTATTTTGTATTTTATTTAGAGACTGAGTTGCTCAGCGCCTTGCTTTTGTTGAGGTTGTCTTGGATCTCTTGATCCTCCTGCCTCAGCCTCCCAAGCCAATGGGATTACAGGTGCCCCACTTTGAATGGGATTTTCAAAGGGCTAGTTAGTCCCACAGGAGGGACTTCTCCTGAAGCTCTGTGGCACCCAGGTTTCCTGGCCCAGGTGGGAAGGGCTTGGAGGATGGGGAGTTGGGGGGTCACGAATACAACTTAAGCCTTACCGTTGGAAGTAATAGTCCCACTCGCCATTCATTGAGCATTTGGGTCCAATTCTGAGTCCTACTACTGACACGATGAGGCAGTAGATGGCACCAAGTAGTCCGAGGATAACATAAAAGCGTAATGACCTAAACTGGACAGGGGTGTGGAAGGTAGGCTGGATAGGGCTGTCCCCTCCCCACTCCTGGGCCAGCCAGGGCTAGCTCCCCCCCAACACTGCCCAGCTCCTCTGGAGCCAGGTGGAAGATACATTTTTGGGCTGTGGATGTAGTCCTGTAACAGAGTGCTTGAAATTCTGCAGAGGGTGCTGTGGCTCCATGAGAGACTGGTTCAGAGGGGATGCTGGTGTTAATGGGGATTGAACCCATGAGTGCTCTACCAAAGAGATACATCCCCAGCACTTTATATTTTTTATTTAGGACATGGGGTCTCACTAAATTGCTGAGGCTGGCCTCAAACTTGAGATCCTCCTGCCTCAAGCACCCAGTCCCTTGGATTACAAGTGTGCACCACCACGCCTGGCCAAATCTCTTCATTGGGATCTCACCGAGCAGTCATGTTCAACAGCATCTCGAACCAGTGTAATTCCCAGACACAGCACCTGTGGGACATACCATATAAGGAAGCATTTTGTTCTTTTCCAGGGAAGGGGCTGAGAGTTTTAGTTCTCAGCCTCCCTTCAAAGTCTCATAGCTCTTGCCCTATGCCACACCATAGTTCACTTACATGCCACCCCCAGATTAAACTTGGTCTTGCCTAGGTGTGATAGTGCACACCTTAAACCCAGTGACTCAGGAGGGCCACTGCAGAGAAACACCTGATGAGTGGAACCAAATTTCCACCAGCACTCTCATGCCCCTCTTCCTGTTTCAGGGCAATTCAGGGCCATTCTCCACCCATTGCTCACCCTCACTGGTGAGGTCACTCACTGGGAGGCTCCAGGATCCACAGATATCTAGAATTGCCTCTGGCTTTAACATGTGTGTGTGTGTGTGTGTGTGAGTGTGTGTATGTGTGTGTGTGTTGAGTTTCTAGCAATCTAATCTAGGGCCTTGCCATACTATGCAAGTAGTGTATCACTGAGTTATACCCCCAACACATTTTGTCAATTTTAAATGACCCACCTCCTTGAGAATTTTACATTTGGTCAAAGTTTTTGATTCTGTTTGTGGTCTAAGCTTCCTTGTCTTACTCCTAGCCCTCTAATTATCTTTACAAAAAGAGAAGGGTTATCATAAATTCAAGAGACAACACTGTTTATAGCCCGAATCTACTGACTTCCGTCTATCACCATGGACACTGGTTTATTTCAAGATACTCTCTTTCCTCCGTGACATTAGTCTCCTCTTCCTGCATCTATGGATGACCTCCTACTATTTATTCTCCACACAATAGCCAGGGGGATCTACTTGTCCAGTGAGGTTGGTAGTGACTAGAACTCTCACACTGTGCTGATCAGAATGAAATTGATACAGAAACTATAGAAAACTATTTGTCAGTATTAGCACTCAATATTTGCCAACCATAGAATCAGCAGTGTTGGGCTGGGTTTGTGGCTCTGTGGTATAGTGCTAGATTCACATCTGTGAGGCATGGGTTTAATTCTCAGCACCACATATAAATAAATGAATAGAATAAAGTTCCATCAACAACTAAAAAAAATCAGCAATTGCACTCCTGTCTAACTGTAGACAGGATCGAAATAAATACATA